ACCCATATTTTAAGTAGTTGTGGATAAATGCCCTTTAAAAACATTTTCAATAGAAAAATGACTTATAAGTCAGTTTACAGAAGATGAAAAAAAAATCAGTGCTTATTTATTTTTATTTATTCTTTTAAAAATATATTTTATTGATTTTTTACAGAGAGGAAGAGAGAGGGATAGAGAGTTAGAAACATCGATGAGAGAGAAATACCGATCAGCTGCTTCCTGCACACCATCCCCCATTAGGGATGTGCCCACAACCAAGGTACATGCCCTTGACTGGAATCGAACCCGGGACCTTTGAGTCCGCAGGCCAACGCTCTATCCACTGAGCCAAACCGGCTAGGGCAGTGCTTATTTATTTATTTATTTATTTGAGAGAGGAAAAAACCATCAATGTTGTTCTATTTATATTTGCAGCAAATGTTTACTTTCTAATCTTGTTTTTTTTCCCTTAAGAAACAATTGTTACCAGTTTGATAGGTGAAAATATTTTAATTTGAAGTTATTTTTTTATTATTAGGTAAGTTTAATTTTTATCTTCACAAGGTTTTGGCCATGTGTATTTCTTTGTGAGTTACTTGTTTGCACATTTTAAAAAAGGAAGTTCTGTCAACATAAGCATTTTAGTTTAAGTATGACTTGGCAGATGCCTTAGTCCATTTTGAACCAGAAGGAACCATACATAAAGAATTTATTCAAGTGGCATTCCTTGCTGTTTGCAAAGGTCAGTATTGACCTGGGAGCCAGGAAGTTGGCACAGCCTGTGTTGTTAGCCCAGATGGATGGGTAGACTCTTGATGCCCCCTCCAGCTGCCGGCTGTAACTCGGTGGGGTTTTCCGGTCTCATCTGTGTCTCGTTGATGTCTGTAGCCATGTCAGTATGTGGGTTGAGAGTGAGTGGGATTTGTCTATCCATTGTGATATATCAAAAGACTTTAATACAGTGGTTCTCAATCTTCTGGCCCTTTAAATACAGTTCCTCATGTTGTGACCCCCAACCATAAAATTATTTTCATTGCTACTTCATAACTGTAATGTTGCTACTATTATGAATCGTAATGTAAATATCTGATATGCAGTATGGTCTTAGGCGACCCCTGTGAAAGGGTCGTTCGGCCACAGGTTGAGAACCGCTGCTTTAATCCCAAGTAAGTAAAAAATAACTAATACAGACTGACAGTGTTAAAGACCAACTACTCCATTTTCCTTATCATGCTGACAAACGTGACAAAAATATCTCTTAAACATTTTAAAGTAAAGCAACTTATATTATTTTGGTGTGTAAGGTTTAATTTTTGTACCAGGATGCTCTCCATAATATATCACTTGGGGGCTACTCTTTCTCTTTATTTTAAAGGGAGAGGAGTGTGTATGTGTGTCCTGAGGGTGAGTGTGACAGTGAGTTTTGAAAAGGAGTCTGATATGACAGGGGCAACCTCTCTAGAATGGTGCAAATAGTTGTTTTAGTAAACGGCCATTTTTTGAATAAACTCACTGGGGGTGCTTACAGGATAGTGAAAATATTTTCCTTGGCACTTATGGTGATTTAATAAACTAACTGCAAAGCCCCTTCCAGCATGGTTCCTGTCTCATAGTAGGTGCTTATTAAATGATGGCAGTAATACATTGTGTATAATGGTATTCTTTCATTCATCCCATAGTCATTTATTGAGAGCCTACTCTTTATCAAGTCCTGGTCAAGGTAGTGTAGGTACTACGGGGAGTGAAAAGGCTAAAATGTCTTTTCCTCCTGGAGTTGATACTCTGCTGTAGGGAGACAGTCACTAAGTAAAATAAGTACATAGATGATCTCATACTTTAAAAGAGCATAATTGCTTTGAAGAAAAGTGAATTGGGGGGGATGGGCTGCAGATAGGGAGAGATGGCTTTGCAGTTTTAGCTAGGATGGTCAGAGGAGGGATGGGTAAGTAGAGATCAAGCAGATCTGGGGTTCAACCCATATTTACTACTAATTAATTGAGCGACTTTGGGAAAATTATTTAACTTTTGACCCTCAGCATTGATGTGTTAAAAAAACAACAACATGAATCTGCGGCCTAGGGTTAAATGAGATAATATGGAAAGTATGTAGCGTTATCCCTGTATGGTTAGTGTCCAGTAAGAGGGGCATACCCTGGCAGTAAGGCTCTAGCCCAGAGGTGGGCAAACTTTTTGACTCGAGGGCCACAATGGGTTCTTAAACTGGACCAGAGGGCCGGAACAAAAGCATGGATGGAGTGTTTGTGTGAACTAATATAAATTCAAAGTAAACATCATTACATAAAAGGGTATGGTCTTTTTTTTCAATAGTTTTATTCATTTCAAATGGGCCGGATCCGGCCTGCGGGCTGTAGTTTGCCCACGGCTGCCTAGACACAGGCTTGCCCAACGAGCAAGAGTGGAGGGGGAGCTTTTTGATTCAGAAGGGTGGCTGCAGTAAAGAGTTAGTGTGGGTGGGAAAGAAAAGAAGTGAGTGGCAGGAGCCTCGGCTGTGTGTGTAATGGAAGCATCGAGGTTCTTCCTTCCTAAAGGGAAAGTAGAAGACTTATTCCATTTGCTTTGCTTCTGACAGGTCTGTTACCAGTTGATTTTATTTCGCTGTAATTTTATTTCGCTGCCTAATCAAATGTTTTATAGTCTAGTTTTGGGGAACTAAAACATGTATATATGTATATGCAAAGTTTAAGATAGTTGCTAAATAGATTTTCTTTAAAAGGAAGGAATGTTAAGTGCTGGAGAAGGAATTGGCTGAGATCAGGTGATCAGGGAAAGCTGCTTGCAAGTGTAGATTAGATTTGACTCTTGAAATATGGTTGGGCTTTTGGTCTTTTTTTTTGAAGGATACTGATATTTTCCGTTACGTTCCATAGTACCTCAGGCCTGACAGGTACCCTGCATAGGGAAGTGTTTAAAGGTGAGCTGAGTTTGCAAAAGCATCATACCCTATCACCTACTTGGACGTTAATGCAACTTGTTTACTCACTAACTTCCTGTCAGCCCTGCAGTGAAGAGACCTGCTGAGCTGTGGCGCCTGCAGGACTGGGCGATGTGCACAGCAACCCAGGAAGCAGGGGTTAGGGTGCTGTCAGCTTATTCTTCCAACTCTGTCTTCAGGGAATAGAGCTGTCACTTATCTTTGTGTTCATATTTGCAAAGCATTTGGAGATCATTTAGCATATTTACCATAGCTCTTCAAGTTTAGGAGAAAAAAATTACTCAAGCTCAGATAGAAAAATAACTAATGCGGATTACACATTTTTTATAAAATATATGTTTTTATGGATATATGTATGTGTGTGTGTGTGTATACATACATACATATATATATATATATATAGAGAGAGAGAGAGAGAGAGAGAGAGAGAGAGATACACATATATTAGTACATTTATATTTAAAGGGAGAGAGAGAGAAACATCGATGAGAGAGCATCAACGTCATTCAGCTGCCACCTGCACACCCCTTGTTGAGGCCCGAACCCACAACTTGGGCATGTGCCCTGACCAGGATTGAACCAGTGACCTCCTGGTGCATAGGTTGACCCTCACCACCGAGTCAGATGGATTACACAATTTTGGATAACAATTTTCATCTTTTATTTTTTCTTTCATCTGTTGCTTATTTTGTTTCTTTGAAATGATTTTATATAGTATCTCTATATATAAAAGGCTAAGTGACCGACTGTCCAACTGCCCAACCGACTGACCGGCCAGTACATATGACGCACACTGGCAATTTAAAAATAAACGTTGACTCGCACATGCACAATACATATAAAGCTCTCGCTGGTGCCAATTGCATGCATGTGTTTCGATCTGTCATTGTGGATCATGAATTTGGATGTTTTTGTTGACATTCTGAAGCTGAAAGAAAGCAGTATCGTGGACAGAGTATGTCTGAAGGCCAACTATTGGCACAACATACCTCTGAAGCTGAAAGAAGCCTGCATTGTCGACAGAATGCCAGCATTTGCAATGACTATTCTAATTATTTTCCTTTCGGTGTGCACGAATCCATGCACCCGGCCACTAGTTTGCATATAATGAAAAAGAATTGTTTTAAAAGTTGAAAATAGCCGGGGCCAGTTTGGCTCAGTGGATAGAGCGTTGGCCTGCGGACTGGGGGGTCCCGGGTTCGATTCTGGTCGAGGGCATGTGCCTTGGTTGCGGGCACATCCCCAGTGGGGGGTGTGCGGGGGGCAGCTGATCGATGTTTCTCTCTCATCGATGTTTCTGGCTCTCTGTCTCCCTTCCTCTCTGTAAAAAGTCAATAAAATATATTTAAAAAAAATAAACCTTTAGCATTGATATTAAAAAAAAAGTTGAAAATAGGAACATTTTAAAGATACTGTCATGCCGGAAGCCAGTCCACCCTTGCTGCTTGACACAGTTGCTGCAGGGAAGAAACATCTGCACAGCATATGTTTCAAGGGATTTGGCATATATGGCATACTGTTCTTAATATGTTTGCTCCCCTACTTAGCGCTATGTGTTTTAACCAAGATCACCTCTCCAAGAAAGGTTGTTTCCCCAGGTGGGGATTTTTCCCTGGAGTTAGGGATTAACAGGACTAAGGAAGGGAATAAATCAGTAAAACCCCTTAGCTAAGTGCCAGGCGGGTAGTTAATCACTTTAACTAGGAACAATCACACTTAAGCTACATAATCTTTACTTTGGATAATCTCCTTCAGTTACTTCCTTGTAGTTTAACAGAACAATAGAGTAGTGACCTTGGAATGGAGATAACAAATGCCCTAACCTTTGGAATAGAATGGATAGGACTAAAATCAAATGGTATAAATACAGATGTAACAGGAGAATGAAGAGAGAACCTGGCTGGAGAACCTGACTAGAGAACCTGGCTAGGCTGCTGATCAACTGAACGCTGTCTCCGTGTCATTTCTTCTTTGCCGACTCCGTCCACACCTTGGGAACCCCTGGACCTGCTGGTGTTGGACCCCAACACTGTCATTTTAACAAAGGTATTTTCTTTCTTCTCCCAAGGTATACTATCCAAATTTGGGATGGATGTGCATTGATGCCACCGATCCAGAGAAGGGGAACTGGCTGCGATATGTGAATTGGGCTTGTTCAGGAGAAGAGCAAAATTTATTTCCACTGGAAATCAACAGGGCTATTTACTATAAGACTTTAAAGGTAAGAGTGTTAGAATTAGTCTCTGTTACTCTGCATGCATTTTTGCAAATACCATCTTTATTTGTGACTGACAATAACAACTTTGCAGACTTTGAAAGGATTATATTTGAAAGTGGTTCATCAACACATTGAAGGTCTGTGTTTTTAAATATCCAATTGCCACTGCTTCGTGTGCATAAGAGCACTGAAGCGTGAAGATTGTGTCAAGTAATTACTTGCTGCATCTTTATAGATACTGAGGAGCTAAGCGTGTGGCCGCTACTTCCCTCCTCCTAAGATACAGATGCATTAGGAACTGTCTGACAGGCTGTTTTATACAATGTAGGAAACCACCAATAGCTCTGATAGTTCTGTGCTAACTGAACAATCGTGGTCTTCAGTGTAATGTAGCCTTGGATTAGGTTTTTCCTAAATTTTATTCAGAATTGGGATTAAGTAGAACATGTGTCTTCCTTTGTGAAATTTTTATTTGGAGACATTCATTGCTGAGATGAAAAGAAGAAGAAAGTAATTTTGTAGGGTTTGAGGTGAGGTCACAGGTCACTGATACATCAGGGAAGTTAGTATTAGGAAGCACTGAGTGTGGCTGCATTTCTGCAAGCAGCAGGCCCTGTCTGTCTCTTGTCACTTCTCTCTGAATGCAAATCTGCACCGGTCCTGCATGGACAAGATCTCGAAGGCGGAGTCTTGAGGCTCTAAAGACAGATGATTGTTGCTTTTTGGAATAGATATGTTTGCTGAAATTGTTGTAAGGCAAATTTCTCTTTATTCACTGACTTCTATTAAAAGTGTCATGGATTAGGGGGACAATCTATGAAAAAATGATCTCCATGACATCAAAAACTAGTTGAGCAGGCATTTAGGATCATGGTCAGTATTGTGGCAGGCTGGGTTTTGCCTGTCTGGTAGCACTAGGGCTTCTGGAAGTTTAGTGAGCATAGCTGCTTAATTTTCCTGTCATTTTTAGACAATTGGATTGTCCTCTGCCTCATGCATAGCCACATTCTTGCTTCCAGTCCCTGTAGGAGCGGTGTTTTTGTTGTACTTTCTAATTTAACACTTCTATAGCCCTCTCATTTTCTATCTGCTGTGTTGTAATAGCATGATTCTCTAGTAGGTATTACTATACAGTTTGAAATTAGATTTAAATTTGATTCAAGAATTTATTGTGTTTCTCAGGTTTATTTAAAGTGGGAAGGTATATCTGGTTGAATCAGTGAGGCAGAATCCTGGGGGAGATGAAATGCCAGCAAAGGGATGAATCTGAGACAGTCAAGGAAGGAGAAAGGAGGTTTCAAGGGAGAGCAAGCCCAGGGAGATGTTAGGACACTTTGAAGTTCGGTCATCAGACTGCTGTCTGATAGCAAATCTGAGAAACACTGAGAAGCAGGAGAGAGAGTATTTGGGGGAGTGAATTCTGAAGCTAGACTCCTGGATTAGATCCCAGCTTGCTGTGTGACCCAAGAAAAGTTCCCTTATTTGTAAGATATAGATAATAATTGTATTGACTTCATAGAGTGATCATGGTGATTTCTATGTACTGGTAGAGCTCTGTTGTCTAAGAAGTGCTAAATAAATGGAGGTTGCTATTTTTTGCGAGGTGGGATAATATGGTTAGGGGTGAGGACTGTAGCAGACTGCCTTGTGAGTGGATTTTGGCTTCCAGATGTGTGACCCTGAGAAGTTAATTAAACCATCTGTGTCTTAGTTTTTTCATCTGTAAAAATGGAGTTAATAGGAAAATTAATATATAGTTGTTGCAGAGATTAAGCAGGATGGTATGAGTAAGGTTCTGTGATGTGTACCTAGTCTCACCCTAGAACTCAAAGTTGTTAACTAGCTGCACTGCTGCTATTATTTCTGTCCATCTTCTTCTGAAGTAACATAATTCTGATCTTTGCAGACCTCCCCCAATCCTGACCTTAGATGTTTGCTCAGCTATGCACAAGACCTTTCTACTCCACACCTTGGGACTACAGATTAGGCTTTCTGTGAGTTAGATTCTGTAAAAAAATTACATGTGATGCTCTTCTGGGCTCACCTTCTCAATTGTCACCCTGATAACTGGAAAGTCCCAATGTTGATTTAGTTGGTAATATAATTAAAAAGTATTTTAAAGCTTTAAAAGTTAACTGTTCACCTGCTATCCATTCTTTTCTTCATTCGTTTGACAAATATTTATTGTCTAGTAGGTACCAGGTATTCTTCTATAGTAGTGAACCAAACAAATAAGATCTCTGGTCTCATGGAACTTCCAATTTATGGGGAGGAAGCAAGTGAGTAAGTAAACAAAATAATTTCAGATCTTGATGAGGGTTTAGAAGACAATAAAATGTGATAGAGACTAGGGAGAGGACTGCTTTATCTCTGGTGAGCCAGGGAAGATAAGTCAGAATGAATTCCCCCCACTGGCATGTGTGGTCAGCCAGCCACACAAAGATGTCTGCAGGAAGAGCAGTCCAGGAAGGGAGGTCCCAAGAGAAGCAGAGATCTTCAGGTAGGAATATGCTGGAGTTTTTTTTTTGTTGTTACTGTTTTTAAGGCCATTGTGGTGGGAACAAGGGAAAGAATGTTAAATGAGTCTGGTGAGGTGGGCAGAGTCTGCGGAGTTGTCAGAAAGGAGAAAGAAGTATGAGTTTTAGTCTTCAATTCAGTTCACCCATTCCAGAATTGAGACCTGTGACTTTTAAAAGGTCAGGTTGGGGACTAGATTATAGGGACAACATGGAAGTGCTTTGTGTTCTGTAATTCTGGAGTCTTTTATTTTGACTTAGTGTCAAGAATGTTTTTTGGAACCCTTACCTCTTCTTATTTGGTCTGTTAAAATTTCATGGTTATATTTACTAGTATTTAGAGAAGAGAATATGCTTGATTATGGTGTCTGTTAGAATCCAGAGGAAAAGTTGGAGGAGTTTAAATTCTTTCTGTTTTTCTGGTTACATTTTTTTGTTAAACATCAACATACAGTACATAAAAAAAGAGGTTGTTTGGACTTTTGACTTTATATTTTTTATATGCACCTTTTATATTTCCTGTGTTTAAGAAGAAAAATTTTCGTTTATTATGAAGTTTGACATAAAATCTTAAATGTGCTAAGCAGTAAAGACAAAAAAATAGTACAGAGGCACACAGTGATTGATTTAAAAAGAGAGGTGGTATTTTCCTCTTCATAAAGGTCTGTTATTTGTGTATCTGGTTTAATATGAAGTTGGGAAGTATATAGTTCAATAATATAATCACCTCAGTTGCTACAAAATTTTGAAGGTTATTCAAACAAATCACGTTGCTTTTAATTCATCAACGCACTAGTCATTTAGAAATTTTTTATTAGATTGAGGTAAGAATAGATTCTGGTATGGTATTTATTTATTTTTTTGAGGGGGGCATGTTTTTATATTGTGTGTTTTGAAGTGAACAGTTGTGCTGATATTTAACATCATCCAGTTGCTAGCACAGGTTATACAGGTGGTACCCTCAGAAGCCTGGAGAGGATTGGCCACGGAAGCTTACACTCGGAGTTTGGGAGGAACCTGGAACAGGGCTAGAGGGTGTCTTCACACAGTGTCCTGGTTGTGTTGTTTGGATTAGGAATAAATTGGAAATGCATTTTTTTTTCTCCTTTCCATGTTCTTTACTTTGGTTTTACTTAAGTCTTTACATGTTTCCACGAACTCTAATCATTTCAAATATTTTATGATACCACCATTTCATAAATGCGACTTAACAACAAAAAGTCGAGAAGCAAACTGTACATTTGGAACTATAAATGGTTTATTTAAACAAAAAAGCCTGTTCCTTTAACAGAAACATATCTCATCAGAGTGCTAAAAAGTATTTAATGGCTATTTAATTCATAAAAAATCTTATATATAACTCAAAATCTTATGTATTTTAGCTCATTAAAATCTTATACATGTTAGATTAGTATTTTTTTATGTGTGTTTTGTTTGTTTAGGTTTAACAGACTCAAGAAGGTAAATGATAGTACATTGGCTTAAAGATAAGAAAATGGCAGGTTTTAACCATCTGTGGGGAAGCAAAGGAAATGGTGGCTTATTTTAAAGACTTTAGAATGTTTTAATATTTGAACTACATAAACTGAGTTTTGCAGAGAATGAAACAAAATAATATTTAATTTAAAGGGCATTATCTAGAAGGTATGTTGAACTTAGGAACTATGTTGTTTCTAAACACATCTTGTTTACAAACAAGGGCATCTTCCATAACCTATAGTGCAGTGATCTAAAGCAGGATGCTGATAAGGTGTATAGTTTATTGGCTAATCTATATACCTTATTCATATTTTGTCAATTGTTCCAATCATGTTTTTATAGGAAAAGAAAACCCAGTTGCATTCAGTTATAATGTCTTTTTATTAGTCTCTTTAGTTTGCTTTTATGGCCTTTCAGTTTTGAGAGAGCTGGTCAGTTATTTTGTAGAATGTCCCACAGTTTGGGCTTCTCTTGTGTTTTATTGTGATTAAATTACATTTATTCATGTTGGGCAGAAATCTCCACAAGTGATGCTGTGTTCTTTTCTGTGCATATTATCAGGAGGCACATATGTCTAATATCATTATAAAGATAGTTTTTAACTTTGGAACTAGTAAATGTTTTAGGGGGAGATATTTTGAAACTTCGCAAATATTCTGTTATTCTTCAAATTTCTGCCTATAAGTTCCATCGATAATTCTTGCCTGAATCAATTATTACTGTGATGATTACCAAGTGGTGATTTTCTAATTCCATTTATTTTTAATTGAATTTGTTGGGGTTATATTGGTTAATAAAATTATATAGGTTTAAAGTGTATAATATGTCATCTATATATTGTATTGTTTGTTCACCATCCAAAGCCGTCTCCTTTCAGCACTATTTATCCCTCATTTTCCCTCTTCTACCTGCCTCCTTTATTTCTCTTTTAGTGATTAGCTGGGATCTGCTTTAATGAAGTTTTCCTTCTTATTTATTTGTTCATTCATTCATTTAGATCAGTATGGACTCATTGATTCTTATTTTATTCATAGGGTTTTAGGTAGAATGTTACTTGTGTTGACCCTCTCGGAAGTATTTGAACAGATGAGCCATTGTGAGAGAAACCAGTCAGACATTTCCCTAAATCCTGTTTAGGAGAGTAATCTTTACACTCAGTGTATTTGTTCTTCAGGGTCTTGTTCTAGGTGTATTCAGTATGTTGGTGGTATATGTCCTCACCACTGACATGAAAGTTAAGAATTAATGTTTTAGGAGCATAATACATGGGAGGTATTTTTAGGTATTTCCTTGTAAATTTGTCACGTAAATTCGATGTGTGGTACAGAGGGTGAGACGGTGAATTTTCTATGGACCTGAGTAGAGAATTTGAACTATATAAACAGTGAGTTTTGCAGAGAATGAAACAAAATAATAAATAGGTGGTGGCAGTGCACAGATATACCCTGTCCTTTTAGCTTTTCCGTGATGTAATTAGCGGCGACTTAAAAATGTGCAGTGGCATGTAGTTCTTCCTTATCAGGCTTAACTTGCTCTTGGAATCTGAACCGTGCACTGGTAATTAGATTTCAGCACTTCTCTTTCCAAACCTCCTGGTTCTTTCTAATTGTGCTTGAAATTGCTCATCAGCTAAGTTTCATGAGCAAAATGGTTCCGGGCTTTTCTTTTTTTCCCTTCCGTAAGGCGTTGAACAGTAAGATTCGCAGCATATGGCAGTTTTGAGTTGAAAGCAGTCAGTCTACTAGATCCATAGATGGCCTTATGGACCATGGAGAGGAAGCGGGCGGGAAGTGAGGTCCTCCCTCCAGCAGAGGGTTCCTTCCCGCAGCCGCCGCCCGCCGCCGCAGCGGGGTTAAGAGCCCTTCCTGCCCGGCTGGCCTCTGGCTCGCGGCCCCTCCCTGCCCCCGCCCCACCAACAACCGCCGCTCTGATTGGCTCGGCGCCTGTCTCTTCTCTCCCCGCAGCCAATCGCGCCGGGCGAGGAGCTCCTGGTCTGGTACAATGGGGAAGACAACCCCGAGATAGCAGCTGCGATTGAGGAAGAGCGAGCCAGCGCCCGGAGCAAGCGGAGTTCCCCGAAAAGCAGGAAAGGTAGGAGCCCGCCGCCGCCGCTCCCTCGCCGCTCCGGGCCGGCAGGATCCAGGCCGGGGCGGCGCCCGCAGCTCTCGGTGACCTTTTCCGGACTGACCGCCTGCCCATGATCCGGCCCCCCCGGGCCGCTGCTGAATCACGGCGCCGGACGCTGCGTGGGCTCTTTTCTAACTTGGGGCTGGGATCGGGGCGTGGAAAAGTGCAGGGACCCCAGCGCTGCCCGCAAGCTCGTTGTCACTGCCCCCTCGGACGTCAGGAGAGCCGGATTTACGGGCGGGAGCTGCAGCCTGTGCCTTCCAGCCGTGCACTCCCGGTATATTCTTAGCTTTTTGTGGTATTTGCCAGAGAACGCGTCATAAAGTGTGTTTCCACAGTGACATTCCTTGGCCGCGTGTCCACCCGGGGCTGCAGTAAGGGCCGGTCGCGCTGCGGCCGGGCTGAGTCTGCCCCGCGAGGGGCTGGGCCCTGTCACTCCAGGCCGCTCGGCACCCCCCTCCTCCCGCGGGCCTCCCTTTGCTCTCCGCTTGGGATGGGCCCTGCCACTCTTCCCCACCCCACCCCTCCCCACCCCACGCGGCGCGGTGCAAGATTGCAACTCTTCGGGGTGGGCTGAGGTCTCAGCACCGCAGATCTTCCCGAAATCAGACCATTAGCAGAATGGAAGTTGAGAGTGCGGTGTTTTGTCACTTTTGACTCAACTCCAGTAGTTTTGTTTTATGATGTTTTCAAGCCAAGGTAAAGCGTAGTCACGCTTACAAAAGGGAGGGGATAATTTCCGGTAGGAAAATAGTTTGGTTGCATATATCGTATTTCTAGCTGGCATTTTGACACGTTGAGATTTAAAAAAATATTTTTTATGTGAATTTGTGAATCTTCCATAGAGCCTAGTTTGAATATATGCCAAGGCACAATATGGCAGTTTCTTACTAATATAAAACTCTTTTGTTTTTGCTCGCTTTGGTCTTAAGTAAATTTTTATAGTCATCTGAACTTAGGAATCTGTCCTTTACTCACTACATTGTAAAGTAAATTGTGGAAACAATACTGTAAAATCACAACATAAACTTGATTTAGGAAAAATGTAAAAATGATACTTAAAAGTGTAGGCAAGAAATCCTTTTTGATTTTTCCATTACACGTTCTTTGTATTTCACACTATCATGAGAATAACTCATCCAGGGGACAGTTTGTGGGCCTTTTACTAAATACATCTTCTGTATTTGTTGAATATGATTTTGCTAATGTTTTAGGTCATTAAATAATTTGATCCTGAATTAGATGATCAGGCTCTAGGAAATTCCCAGGTGTTTTTGTTTTTGCAGTTTTAACTGGGTATTGAGATTTTGTTTACATTAGGCTTAGTGCATAATTGTTTGCAAAGTGTTCACATAATTCACCTTGTTCCTTTATTTAGTGTTCATTTTATTTTTAACTAATGTCACCAGCCTCTCCAGGTAAGTTGTGATTTGCAAGGACTAGAGTTTGGGGGGAAGGGAAAGTGTTTACTCTGCTACTAAGCCTAACTAACTGATGTATTTAAACATATTCGTAGCTTAATGGAATCATCACTCTAGGGCTGTTCTGTTTGGCATACTTTGGCATGCATATTTAGAACATTTTATTACTGTTTGCTTTCCTTCTTAATTTATCCCTTAATTTTAAAAATCTATTTAGTTAGATTTAGGAGGGGAAAACGGAAAGTAAACTTTTTGTTTTATTACATGAACTTACACATCTTTGAATTCATACCTGCCTAAATTGCTGTTTTTTTTATGTTGAGTTACATAGTTCATATTTCTTTTTATCCTATTATTTTTATAACTACTCAGGGTAGTAAGCATATAACCAAACTGAATCTTAGGTTTTAATTAAAATACTTGGGTGAGGCTCATTCTTAGAACTTAGTCTGTTTTGAACAGCTTACTGGTAATGAGTCCTGTTTGAACTTTATGACCTAAAGTTTGGAGAGTTTAAATAATGAGTCAAGCTTTTTTTTTGTTTTTCAATTAAATACTCTGTGAAGGCTAATTTATAGTTTGCAAAGACCTGAAATGAGAACTTTTTTATGAACCCGGTTTTATATAGGCCTTAGACATTTTAATATCTTTTCAGGTAGTGATGTCAGTGAGTAAATCAACGTAAAGCTCACTCAGTAGCAATGTTAACTTAGTATTTCTGAAAGCCAGATGTTGAAGATACGCAACTGACAGGTAGATTGACAGTGGTCCTAACTTCACTCCAGTCATGAGGGAGGCAGAGAAACAAAGGGCTGAATTCTGCGCAGTCCTGGGCCTCAGCTCCTTTGCATGACAGCTGCTGTGCCTACAGCTGTGCATGCATGTGGTGCCTTTCAGAACTCAGCAGACGCTGGGGGATCAGGAGGCGAGTTCTGGGCAGTGAAAAGCCCCGGTTCCTTTACATACAAAGTGGTCCCTTCTCTCTTTCCTTCTGAGTCTCTGCCTTTCATTCTTCATTCAACTGATGTTTGTTAAGCACCTGCCGTGTGCCAGGCACTCTGCTAGGTAAGTACTTCGTCATGGTGAGCAAAAAAGAAGCAGTAACTCTTCTTGAGGCGCCTGTAGTCAAGAGACACATGTTAAGTCAGTAAGTTGATCAGCGCCTGGATGGTTGGCATGGGATAGGCCCTCAATAAATATTTGTTGATTGGCAAACAAAGACGCACACAAACCTGCAATGAAGGAAAAGAACGCAGCGCTGTGAGAACACAGTTCACAATGTCTCTGACCAAGGAGCATGCAGTTTTGCCATGGGCCAGAGATGTACACACCTTGGGCATTTTGAGCTCGAATTTTGGATTCTCGGTTTTATAATTTGGTCTAATTTCTTACATGTCTGAGCAGCCCCTGTAATGAGCTTGAACATGAGCAGTCCCTTGGATGGGACAGATTAAACTTTTCAGGTATAGAGGCAGGGAGAGTTTTTTAGTGTTAGGTGTTTCCAGTTAATTTAAACCATAGGAAGGTTATAATCTGTGAAGTAACATAGAAGGGCCAAATTTGGATGTATTTATTACCATCTTCTTCTCCATCTCTGCCTCCTATTTGTTAGTGTGAATTGAACTTGCTTTTTAGCAGTAAACAATGACTATTGGCAAGTGCTCTTTTAGATTATAGTAGAATATAATCACAGCATGTTCTGTTGCCCTGCCCTCTTTTGGCTATATAGGAGCCCTACCTGAAGTTCTTTTACCCTAAGTAAACAGGGCTTTTGTACAATTGGGCTTAGTGGAAGGAAAGAAAAACACAGGACCCCTAGGTTTTTACCTGGTAACTGGGCAAATTATGTCACCTCTCTGGGGCTTAGTTTCCATAGCTTTAAAAGTGGGTGCCATTGCATGATGGTCCATGCTACCTAACGTCACATGGTTGTTGTCAAGAGCAAATAAGATTATAAAAAGGAACAGCTCTGTGCAGCATGTGAGTCCCTACTTGTAAGTGCCACCAACAATGTGTAGCTGACAGCTACTTAGGTGTTTCTCACCAAGGAACGATTGAGTTTGTGACTCATTTAACCAATCAGTGTTTATGGAGCACATGTGACAGCTCAAAATAAGCAGTGGGTCTCTTCCGCCTCTCTTCCCATGGCTGAGCCTCACTCTGTGCCCCTTTGCCCCTTTTGTAGGCCTAGTTCAAACCTATTGACTTTTCCTGTTCACAGCAAATTAGAAGGAAATTAGAAAGGGAGAGTTACTTATAGCAGCAAGTAGTTTTATTGCTGATAGCTGGACAGTAAAGAAAACAGAAAGTTTATGAGAAAACCAGTAATGAGTTAGAGGGAGCACAGTTCCTTAATGTCACTTAGCAGGTTCAGGTAATCTATATATCGCCCCGATCGGGACCGGGCAAGATGGCGCTGATTGGCTGCGATCGCTGGCCAGGCCGAGGAGCTCCACCTGTGCACGAATTTGTGCACCGGGTCTCTAGCTCTTTATAAAAACTGTAAATAGTCCCTGAGAGTATCAGCTAGTTTATAGTATTTATCTAGGTGACCTTTAGTCACCACAGAACAGTTAAATTATAATCAGCTTAAAAAGAAAATTTTATCTGTTTGTACAATCACAGCCCTTCAAATTAAAAACCTCCATACTGTGACGAACACTCAATTTTTATTTATTTATTTTGAAATTTACATGTTTGAAGTTCTTCCTTCAAAGGCCTATAGAAATTTGTAGTCAATTTAGAGAGGTAAGGGATCCACATGGAAAAGAACTTGATCTGAGGTAGTTTACAAAAAAGAAAGTGCTAAACGAAAGGACTGTTGGCGTTGAGAGAGGGAAAAGGGACCTCTGGGCTGGGATGGCTGGGAGTCGTTATTTAGACAGGGTGGCAGGATGGGTGCATTTCAGAATGTAGAGCAGAGAGGGTGTGCAGAGGAGCCTTCGGGACTGTGAGCAGGTCAGTGACATGAGGGTGTGTTTAACATGTGCAGTGTCTGCATCAGACACTGTTTTGAGTGCTGAAGGTACAGGTTCCTGCTCTCACGGGATTGACATTCGAGAGTGAGGGGAACGGCCAGCAAGACGAACGACAGGACAGGTCCTGTAATGTTAATGAAGTGTGTATGTGTGGGGTGTAGAGGGGTAGCCAGCAATGGCTTTTTGGAGGCTGTGACATGAAGGATACAGGGTGGGCCCCATCAAGTTCTAGGGGCTGAGAGCTCCAGGAAGAGAAGCTGTTTGGGTGTTACCAGTAGCATTTGGGGAAATTTATTGATGTGCTGGTGCATAGTGAGGGCCACCTAGGAATTCACATGAGTATTTTTAAATTATGAAACTTAATTTTGCAAATGGACATGTTGGTCTCTTTTCTACTACCAGGCACTGCACTTAGTGTCTGGATTGGTAGGGAATGTTAGAGAGATGGCCCAACTATCCAGAGGGGAGCTTCTCCATTTTATTGCAGCTCAATGCAGGTCAGACTTAAACTGAGTGTTTTAGTTGATGTTTTTGGGGTCCAGGATAGGGAGGGGATAGTGGGCAG